CACACACACACACACACACACACACACACACACACACACACACACACACACACACACACACACACACACACACCACACACACACACACACACACACACACACACACACACACACACACACACACACACACACACACACACACACACACACACACACACACACACACACACACACACACACACTCTTTGAGATCTATTGTGACAGTCCTTCAGATATAGATTTCAAGATATCACCCCACAAGACAAGTCCCCCTGGCAGTTCCATATGCAAGGGACTGTGACGTCACCTCCATATGCCAGGGACTGGGACGTCACCTCCATATGCCAAGGACTGGGACGTCACCTCCATATGCCAGGGACTGGGACGTCACCTCCATATGCCAGGGACTGGGACGTCACCTCCATATGCCAGGGACTGGGACGTCACCTCCATATGCCAGGGACTGGGACGTCACCTCCATATGCCAGGGACTGGGACGTCACCTCCATATGCCAGGGACTGGGACGTCACCTCCATATGCCAGGGACTGGGACGTCACCTTCATATGCCAGGGACTGGGACGTCACCTCCATATGCCAGGGACTGGGACGTCACCTCCATATGCCAGGGACTGGGACGTCACCTCCATATGCCAGGGACTGGGACGTCACCTCCATATGCCAGGGACTGGGACGTCACCTCCATATGCCAGGGACTGGGACGTCACCTCCATATGCCAGGGACTGTGGCGTCACCTCCATATGCCAGGGACTGTGACGTCACCTCCATATGCCAGGGACTGTGACGTCACTGGCACATGGGACATATGCCAGCTAGACCCTAGATACAGAGCACTGTGTCTGTCTCTGTGTAACTATGCCAACGTGTGTTCAGAGAGAAGAATTATCTGACGACTAACAATTCTTTGTCAAACGACAGTGATCAAAGAGGAGAAATCCCGACTGACTACATATTCTTAAATATAATATATATGAATATGTGTGAAAAGCTGCAGTAACTGGAAGCATTCTGAACTACATGGTATAGAAATAGCTCTCTACTAGCAGACAAGAGTCCAAGGCTTCTTAGGAGGATAGACTTATGGGAAGGACCCCCAGGGGTTCAGGAAAGGACCCCAGGGGTTCAGAAGAGGACCCCAGGGGTTCAGGAAAGGACCCCAGGGGTTCAGAAGAGGACCCCAGGGGTTCAGAAGAGGACCCCAGGGGTTCGGGAAAGGACCCCAGGGGTTCAGGAAAGGACCCCAGGGGTTCAGAAGAGGACCCCAGGGGTTCGGGAAAGGACCCCAGGGGTTCAGGAAAGGACCCCAGGGGTTCAGAAGAGGACCCCAGGGGTTCAGAAAAGGACCCCAGGGGTTCAGAAGAGGACCCCAGGGGTTCAGAAGAGGACCCCAGGGGTTCAGGAAAGGACCCCAGGGGTTCAGGAAAGGACCCCAGGGGTTCAGAAGAGGACCCCAGGGGTTCAGAAGAGGACTCCAGGGGTTCAGAAGAGGACCCCAGGGGTTCAGAAGAGGACCCCAGGGGTTCAGAAGAGGACCCCAGGGGTTCAGGAAAGGGCCCCCAGGGGTTCAGGAAAGGACCCCAGGGGTTCAGAAGAGGACCCCAGGGGTTCAGAAGAGGACCCCAGGGGTTCAGAAGAGGACCCCAGGGGTTCAGAAGAGGACCCCAGGGGTTCAGAAGAGGACCCCAGGGGTTCAGAAGAGGACCTCAGGGGTTCAGGAAAGGACCCCCAGGGGTTCAGGAAAGGACCCCAGGGGTTCAGAAGAGGACCCCAGGGGTTCAGAAGAGGACCCCAGGGGTTCAGAAGAGGACCCCAGGGGTTCAGAAGAGGACCCCAGGGGTTCAGAAGAGGACCCCAGGATCCAGGAGAGGACCCCAGGATCCAGGAGAGGACCCCAGGATCCAGGAGAGGACCCCAGGATCCAGGAGAGGACCCCCGGATCCAGGAGAGGACCCCAGGATCCAGGAGAGGACCCCAGGATCCAGGAGAGGACCCCAGGATCCAGGAGAGGACCCCAGGATCCAGGAGAGGACCCCAGGATCCAGGAGAGGACCCCAGGATCCAGGAGAGGACCCCAGGATCCAGGAGAGGACCCCAGGATCCAGGAGAGGACCCCAGGATCCAGGAGAGGACCCCAGGATCCAGGAGAGGACCCCAGGATCCAGGAGAGGACCCCAGGATCCAGGAGAGGACCCCAGGATCCAGGAGAGGACCCCAGGATCCAGGAGAGGACCCCAGGATCCAGGAGAGGACCCCAGGATCCAGGAGAGGACCCCAGGATCCAGGAGAGGACCCCAGGATCCAGGAGAGGACCCCAGGATCCAGGAGAGGACCCCAGGATCCAGGAGAGGACCCCAGGATCCAGGAGAGGACCCCAGGATCCAGGAGAGGACCCCAGGATCCAGGAAAGGACCCCAGGATCCAGGAAAGGACCCCAGGATCCAGGAAAGGACCCCAGGATCCAGGAAAGGACCCCGGGATCCAGGAAAGGACCCCAGGATCCAGGAAAGGACCCCAGGATCCAGGAAAGGACCCCAGGATCCAGGAAAGGACCCCAGGATCCAGGAAAGGACCCCAGGATCCAGTAAAGGACCCCAGGATCCAGTAAAGGGCCCCAGGATCCAGTAAAGGACCCCAGGATCCAGGAGAGGACCCCAGAATCCAGTAAAAGACCCCAGGGTTCAGTACTGAACCCACACTGTTTCAGATATCAGTGATATACTCGAGGAGGCTGCAGGGATTTACGACACTGGGGACAAGGGTCATGAAGCAGTAGGAACAACCTTACACGTCCAGGATTCAAGACAGAAGGAGCGACCAAGTCCAAGACAATGGAACAGTAGCGTCAGAAGACAATGCATCTCACCAAGATGACAGGTGTGGACAATGAGAACCTTCAAAGGAGGAGATCCCACACTACTGATGGTCTCTTCAAAGAATTGATGCTGATGCTATCTCAAACAAAATATTGCTCAGTCCATTCAATATAATAGAGTTAGAAAATATAGACTTCTCTGTCCCACATAGAATCAATAAGACATACTGCTTGGGACGTGGAGATGGAAGGGAATTATCAAGGGTAGGCGCCAAGCCATTACACCACTATATAGCACTGGGAAGGGGTCAGGATAAGGATTTGGGATGGGACGGGGGGAAAAGGAATGGTGCCCGACCACTGAGACGGTCGGGGATTGAACGCCGACCTTGTGGAACGTAGAGAGAGATGCCTCCTAATATATATTTTGGAAATACTGTTAGATATTAATTCTAATAGTATTCCGAATGTATAAATTAAAATGGTATTTAATAATACTGTTAAATGTTACTGAGGTTCCATACCTACATAATAAAACCAACAGAATTTTGTGAGAAATACAGTAGGAATTGAACATAACCACAACGGCCGTGACGAGGATTCGAATCCTCGTTCATTTGATGCATCACGTTAGTGTGATTTCTGTGTAATGATGTAAGGGCGAAGAGGGAGAACGGCCTATTGACATAGCTCGGGTGCAGGGGGGAGTTGTGTAAAACCCTGGTTTGTGTCTCGGAGAGGCTGCAGGATCCAGTAAGTTCAGTAGAACTTCGGTTTTAACTCTTATAACCCTGTCGTAACTCAGTCGATTAAGGCAGTGTCTGGGATGCTCCCGGACGCAGGTTCGAATCCTCGTCACGGCCCTTGTGGATTGGTTCATTTTATTGAAATGTGAAATGTGCTCAACAAGCTTGTGTCAGTCTCTCCCACGGACTTTATATAAATTTACATTAGTTAAACTCTAGGTCTAAGATTGCCATTACATTAATAAACAAATGTGTTGAAAGGTAACAACATCGGATATTCTAAATGGCTTAAAAAAATCTAGACAAAACTGAAACATATCAGACTTAAAACAAATTAAGTTGATACAAGTTTGGAAGTAGGCTGGATATATACTGAAAGCGGTTGGGTGAGAACCCGGTACTAACCAGTAATTTGGCCTTCTCGGGGCTACTTTATTCTTGTGTTTTGGTGTCTGAGTAATAAATTCTCTCTATATATGTGTTACAGAAAGGGGTGGAGTGTTTCAATATATGATTGAGAGGGAATTAATTGTTCAGATATATAGGTAAAAGGGGATAGATTTTAAAGATATATAGATGAGAGGGGATAGATTTTAAAGGTATATAGATGAGAGGGAAAGAATTGTATAGATATAAGGGAGAAAGGAAGATGATTATACAGATATATGGATGAGAGGGGATATGGGTGAGAGTACTTAGATTGTATAGACATTTGAGTGAAAGGGCATGGTTTGATCACATATGGGAGAGAGGGGGATAGTTATACAAATATTTGAGAGATGAAATGCATTGTATAGATACATTGGGTGAGAAGGAGTGAATTGTACAGATAGTATGGGAGAGAGAGGAATAGACTATACAGATATATGGGTGAGAGGAGGATGGACTGTACAGATATATTGGTGAGAGGGGATGTATTATACAAATATATGGGTGAGAGGGGATGGATTGCACTGATGTATAAGTGAGAAGGGGATGGATTGTACAGATATATGGGTGAGTTCATTTGTTCATGACACTATTAGTGGCGGCATCACTTTGTTCATGACACTATTGGTAGCGGTGTCACTCTGTTCATGGCAATATTGGTGGTGGAGTCACTCTATTCCATGACACAATTAGTGGCGGTGTCACTCAGTTTATTACACTATTAGTGGTGGCGTCACTCTGTTCATTACACTATTGGCGGCGGCGTCACGCTGTTCATTACGCTATTAGTTACAGCGTCACTCTGTTCGTCTACACTAGTAGTATTGGTGTCACTTTGCTCATGACACTATTGGTGGCAGCGAGTAGTTATTTCAGAGCCCCCAATGTAGGGCAATCAAATAAGAAAATCAGAAGTGGAATGCCAGATAGAGCCACTCCATATTAGGTCATCAGAGGTGGGTGTGGCAGCAGTAAAAAAAACAGTGAAGATAGGTATCTATTATTTACTGATATGATCATGTTCTTTATACAACAAAGTATGGTGATATATCTAAGTAAAAAAATGTATATATATTTGTATAATACACATACAGGTGAATGCCAGTTACACCCCCATCAACAAAAAACACGGAAATCATCGATAGATACAGCGAAAGCAAGCGGCTTGATATCTGCGAGGCACTACACATTAAGAAGTCAACACCAGCAATCAACAGCCAATAAATGCACAGCTATATTCCACCAACTTCAGGACACCACAACAAAATAGAGAAGCATCAAGAAACATGGGCCAATAGGCCCTTTGCAGTTACTTCCATTCTTCGCTTTAACTTACAAAATATTATACCCATTGTTTCGTGTCCTGTCTTGTGTTGAAAGTTTGTTTTCACCTCATCCAAAACTGTTGTAACATATCACCTCACCCAAATGCAGGTATAAAATTGAAGCTGTTTAAACTCTAGTTATAGTTGGGTGTGTGTAAACTAAAGTCTTTGAAAATGTAATAAGTTATTACGAAACGCGTTCAAGTGTCGCGTCAGACTAGAAATAAAAATAAATTTTGGAGAATTGATTTTTCAGTTACCATCAACAGTGAAAAGAAATCTTGAGAAAATTCGTGTTAGAATAATTAATCATACTTTTTCGGTCATATTTAATATATATATATATATATATATATATATATATAAATATATATATATATAAGTATAGAGAATATATATATATATATATATATATATATATATATATATATATATATATATATATATATATATATATATATATATATATATATATATATATATATATATATATATATATATATATATATATATATATATATATATATATATATATATATATATATATATATATATATATATATATATATATATATATATATATATATATATATATATATATATATATATATATAAGTATAGAGAACTGGATCACCACTACAATTTTGTCCCCATTGCTTCTGAGACTCTCGGCGCCTGGGGTAAAAGTGCTACCAGTTTTTTGAAGGAACTGGGTTCTAGGCTCATTGAAACAACAAGGGACCCGAGAGCTGCAAGCTTTCTTTTCCAGCGCCTCAGTGTGGCGATACAGAGGGGAAATGCGCACTGCATCCAGGGTTCCTGCCCGCCATCTGAGGAGCTGGAGGAACTCGACAACCTATGACAACCATCTTTGTAACCCATATGTAACTCCTTTTTTGTAACAAAGTTCAAATAAAGTAAATATATATGTGTACATACAAAAGAATGGGGGTGGTAGGAGAAGATAATATTAGTGTTCAGTGAGAAACCACAAGGTCTCCTCTGAATACTTTTTATTTTCTTCTCCGAGGCTATGGGTCCCCACATTGGCACCAGAGGTGGTACCCTCACAAAATTATATATATATATATATATATATATATATATATATATATATATATATATATATATATATATATATATATATATATATATATATATATATATATATATTATTAAATATGACCGAAAAAGTAAGATTAATAATTCTAACACGAATTATTAATCTTACTTTTTCGGTCATATATATATATATATATATATATATATATATATATATATATATATATATATATATATATATATATATATATATATATATATATATATATATATATATATATATATATATATATATATATATATATATATATATATATATATATATATATATATATATATATATATATATATATATATATATATATATATATATATATATCTATATATATATATATATATATATATATATATATATATATATATATATATATATATCTATATATATATATATATATATATATATATATATATATATATATATATATATATATATATATATATATATATATATATATATATATATATCTATATATATATATATATATATATATATATATATATATATATATATATATATATATATATATATATATATATATATATATATATATATATATATATATATATATATATATATATATATATATATATATATATATATATATATATATATATATATATATATATATATATATATATATATATATATATATATATATATATATATATATATATATATATATATATATATATATATATATATATATATATATATATATATATATATATATATATATATATATATATATATATATATATATATATATATATATATATATATATATATATATATATATATATATATATATATATATATATCTATATATATATATATATATATATATATATATATATATATATATATATATATATATATATATATATATATATATATATATATATATATATATATATATATATATATATATATATATATATATATATATATATATATATATATATATATATATATATATATATATATATATATATATATATATATATATATATATATATATATATATATATATATATATATATATATATATATATATATATATATATATATATATATATATATATATATATATATATATATATATATATATATATATATATATATATATATATATATATATATATATATATATATATATATATATATATATATATATATATATATATATATAT